AAGAAAATGCAAATCCTTTCGCATTTCTCCTCTAAAGCCTCCTCCACACTCTCCTCACTTTCCCTCCCACGCCTCTGTCTGTCTACCGCCCTCAACTTCCGCCGTCGCCCTTCCAAATTCCCATTTTACCCCTCCAACAACTTTGGAATTCCCAGGCTGCCCCTCCTCGCATGCAACCTCAGCTCCGGCCGCAGCCAACAGCAAGCTCCCATGGACTCACCCCCGCCGGAGGCCACCGCCGCGTCGGTCGACTCCGTGACGCACGATTTGCAGAATCAGAGCTTGGCCGGCGATGAGAAGATTCGCAAGAGCGAGAGCAATGGTGTAAGTAACACTCACAGGGTAAGGTTGAAGCTCGAAGATCTAAATTGGGATAACTCGTTTACCAGAGAGCTACCTGGCGATCCCCGGACTGATACGATTCCACGAGAGGTTAGTTTGATTTTTTCTGTGTATTAGGAATTGGTATTTTCTGTTTGGTTGCTGAGAAAGTGGTAGTAGCTCAAGGCTTCGACTTGCGTTTTTGATTTGTGCCAACTTGGAAAATTTGTTAAATTTAATCATAATTCGTTGAAAATTGTAGTTACTCAATCGAGAAATGGCCAAGTGACTTACGATTTGTGTGTTGTGAATTGGGTTCTGTTTGGTTGCTGAGAAAGTGGAGAAAAACCAAAATGAAAATGAAACATATGTGGCGTGTATGTTTGTGAACTTGTTAAAGGCTTTCACTTGCGCTATTGTTTCGTCCCCAAATTGGAAAAGTTGTTAAATTTATTCATAACTGCTTAGAAATTTGTACATACTCAATCTAGAAATTTGTACCTACTCATTCAAGAAATTGCTGAGCGGCTTACAGGTTGAGTGTTGTTAGTTGGATTAGCTTGATTTGGCTATGGAACTGTGCCATTGATAGGTTTGATTGTGATTTGATTTCTTGCTTTGAGCTCCAGTTTGATGATAAGCTCCAGTTTGATGATAACTAGCTGAGGGGGGTGTTATGTTGTGATTATAATCGTGAAAGACAGATAGATCCTTATTGAGCTCCCGTAATTTGGCTATGGAACTGTGCTATTGATGGGACTCTTGCTCTGAGCTATACTTTGAAATTTTTTCTAGCTGAGGGGTGTTATGTTGCAATCTGATGTTATGCATTCTGGGTTTTGATTATCAGGTGTTGCATGCTTGTTATACGAAAGTGTCCCCATCAGCTGAAGTCGAAAATCCTCAGCTTGTTGCATGGTCAGAATCAGTCGCCGAGTTTCTTGATTTGGATCCTAAAGAGTGAGTATTTGTTTCTTGTGCTCCCAGGAAGTGTTAATGCTTTTCTAGAACATGGATGAGAAATAAACTTCATCTTAAGAGTGAGTTTAGTAGAATAAGAAAGAGGGAAAAATTGTGTTTGACAGCATATATTATGGATAATGGTTTTGATGGTCCTTTGATGTTCGAATGTGGACCTGTTTTTACCTGTGCACAAGAACCTTGTGAATAGAGAGCTTTAGGAAATTAGATCATTGTGTAAATAACATGACCTACTATTATAACCCGTATGTGGAAATATGGTAAATAGGTCTCCAGATATTTATACATATGGAGTCACCACATTTTCACATGGTTTGCCAAGATTCCTGTTATTGATTGAAATTTCCTTTTCTTCGAGTTCTGATATTTTCCTGAGATTATTGTTTCCTATGCACATGTGTTTTTCATCTTGTATATCAGATGATTGCTTTGGTTTACTGCTGTGCCTTGAACCATTGACTGATATACCATAGTACTTCACTTTGATGAATGATGCACGAGTAAATATGTTTTGCACGTGTGGTATGCCATGTTTCATGGGACTAATTAGCCACCTTGTTTGGAGTTACAGATTTGAAAGGCCAGACTTCCCTCTTTTATTCTCTGGGGCGTCTCCTTTAGTGGGATCGTAAGTTCTTCTCTGAATATTATGTTAGGAGACTCGAATTTGGGCTTGTTGTCTTTTTTTTTTCATGCAGCCTAGATGGATGCTTTATTTATGCAGGTTGCCTTATGCTCAGTGCTATGGTGGACATCAATTCGGCATGTGGGCTGGGCAGTTGGGAGATGGGCGGGCTATTACTCTTGGGGAGGTTCTTAATTCTAAGTCTGAGAGATGGGAACTTCAGCTTAAAGGTGCTGGGAAGACTCCTTACAGTCGGTTTGCAGATGGCCTTGCTGTGCTTCGCAGTAGCATCCGGGAATTCCTCTGCAGTGAAGCAATGCATAATCTTGGAATTCCAACAACTCGAGCTCTCTGTCTTGTGACCACAGGAAAATTTGTCACGCGTGACATGTTCTATGAGTATGTTAATTAAATTTCTATGCAACGAGTATTTTTCTACCCAATCATATTTTACTGTGAGAACCATACACACCATTTTGTTTTTTGAGATGTATTAGGCTTGTTGGTTTGATCTTATGCTAAACTATCACTATTTGCTTGAAAAGGAATAAATTTTAGGAATAAATTTTAGGAATATATGTTTCTCATGTTCTCTTATGAAAAGAAATTCCTCATGTCTTCATTTGCAGTGGCAATCCAAAAGAGGAGCCCGGTGCAATTGTTTGCAGGGTTTCTCCATCATTTCTGCGTTTTGGGTCATACCAAATACACGCTGCTAGAGAAAAAGAGGACCTTGAAATTGTTCGTACTCTTGCAGACTATGCCATTAGGCATCACTTTCCTCATATAGAGAACATGAGTAGAAGCGAGAGTTTATCTTTCAACACAGGCAATGAAGAAGTTCTTGATCTGACATCTAACAAGTATGCAGGTAATCTTTTTTCTAGTTTTCCTTTAGAGTAAAGGTGTTGGTGTCATTGTGTATCACAGAATGTGATGATTTGATGCATTGCCATTTTCTATCTGGCTTATATAGTTTTTAGTGATAGATTTGTTAGTGCAAGATTTCTGCCAATGTGGTTACTACTATTGAGATTGGCAATCTCACATTTGCTGAACCTTGGTCTTTTCTCTCATCTACCCTTGCTGTCACTCCGAAAATAGTTTCTGATAGAAGTTTTACACTCAGGCATACTTAATTAGCTTTTTTTTCTGAGCTGCTCTGATCATGGTTTTTTTAACAGCTTGGGCGGTGGAGGTTGCTGAACGTACGGCTTCCTTGGTTGCCAGATGGCAGGGGGTAGGTTTTACTCACGGTGTGTTGAACACTGACAATATGAGCATTTTGGGTCTTACCATCGATTATGGTCCTTTTGGATTTCTGGATGCATTTGATCCAAGTTACACGCCGAATACCACGGATCTTCCTGGGAGGAGATATTGTTTTGCAAATCAGCCTGATATTGGCTTGTGGAATATTGCACAATTCACTAGAACTCTTGTAGCTGCCAAGTTGATAGATGATAAGGAGGCGAATTATGCAATGGAAAGGTAATTGTCGTTCCTACACTTTATCCTAATTAAATGTATGTTGAAGTAGGAGTTACCTAAATTTTTTATTTTTGGGGGATCATTTGATTGTCGTTCCTACACTTTATCCTAATTAATGTATGTTGAAGTAGGAGTTACCTAAATTTTTTATTTTTGGGGGATCATTTGCAGATATGGAACCAAATTCATGGATGACTATCAAGCTATAATGACCAAAAAACTTGGTCTCCCCAAGTACATTAAACAGCTGATCAGTAAACTTCTGAATAACATGGCTATTGACAAAGTGGATTACACAAACTTTTTTCGGTTGCTATCCAATATCAAAGCTGATCCTAACATTCCCGAAGATGAGTTGTTGAACCCACTAAAGGCTGTTCTATTAGATATTGGGCAGGAGCGAAAGGAGGCATGGATCAGCTGGGTGAAAATCTACATAGAGGAGGTACGCTGAACTCTGGTTTTCTTATGATTTCTATCTCGGAAAAGTATATTGGTTTGCTACCAACATTGTATTCATCATAAAAATTGTTTTGCTCAGAAGATTTATTTAACTCGTCCAGAGGCTAGTCTCATCAAAAGCAACATATATCATATGATTTTCTCACACATTATGGTTGTTGCTTGTGCAGCTGGCCTCTAGCGGCATCTCAAATGAGGAGAGGAAGGCATCCATGAATGCGGTGAACCCTAAATATGTTCTCAGAAACTACTTGTGCCAGAGTGCCATCGATGCAGCTGAACAAGGTGATTTTGAGGAGGTTCGGAGGGTGCTTAAAGTAATGGAACGACCATATGATGAGCAACCGGGAATGGAGAAATACGCTCGTTTGCCCCCTGCGTGGGCTTATAGGCCTGGAGTTTGCATGCTGTCCTGCTCTTCATGAGTATGGTTATCTGATTACCATGTTATATAGATGGCACAGAGATTTTTGTTTTGTTTTTCCTCGACAGTTTTATCGTTCGTCATGTCTTAGTAAGTTATCGTATATAATAGTCAGATTTGGGTTTTTTCTCTTTCGTTTACCTCGGACGGTAAAAAAAAGTGACGATGTTGTACGATTCATGTTTCTATACAATTGATAAAGCTTATAGAAATGCAAGAAAAACCAGCTCAAAGGGAACATGTTCCTGAAAGATTGGCTATGAGTTTTTCAATAGGAAAGAACTATTGAAGATACAATTTGTATTGGTGTCTGAGTTCAAATTTCATGATCGGCAGTTACTAAATCAACCAAAAACTTAAAAGCGGAATAAACTTCCTCGATCGAGATTTCAAACTATTGCGAAGCAGTTGGTGCTTGTAGCTCAAGTGGTTAAGACTTAAGAACAGTTATTTTATCTATACTTTCTAAGAATGCGTATTCTTGCTCATACTGATTTTTGACCAATCATGGGTTTATTAACACACCAGGAGTAAAGAAAATAAGTGAGTTTCACATTAAAACTGGTTATCTCTTAAGAAAAAAACATGTATGACAGCGAAGTGATTTTAAAATAATCAAAATCACCATTTGTGAAAATGTTTTTGGAACCATTTTATAGTTAAAACACAAGTAAATCCTGAAAAATTACTTGAAGTGTTTCATGAAAAAGGGAGCATTTAAGTGCTTTTAGATCCTAAAAATATTTTTTAATAAAACACTTAGTCATTTTAAAATCACTTCCATACCAATACGCACAATAACACGGTGCGTTCTTCTTTAGCAGATTAGATTGCGCATAGTGCTGTCACAGCCAGCAAAGTCCGGGTGCCTCGGAACCACTCTCTCTCTTATTCTGCAGTGACTGGTTCAGCTTTCGTAAGACTCTTAATTTTGTTGTTAAATTTTGTTCTTTTTATTGCTTGAATCAATGAATCCACGCTTAACATTCGATGCCCATAACCGTTCGATGAAATGCTTCTTTGAACTTGGTATCATTGGTATTTGGTAGTGTAAATTTTGAATCTTTGGCTACGTTGCCCATCAACTGTTTGATGAAATGCCGCTTACACAATGGCCTTTGAAGCGTATTGGGTTTAATCCAGTTTGCATTTTGGTTGTAGCTCTATCCAAATTGAGCTGCCATGGCACCCCAATAGTCAAGCTTTAGTCTGTCTGTGTATGTTTAAACAGGAATTCTATGTGCGGAGAACGGCATGTATCAATATTCTGGGAAATGCATCGATAACCATCACGAATTTCCGTTTATAGCGCCAAACTTCGAGTGATTTAAATTTATTTCTCCAGTATCTTACAATGTGCCAACACTTATTCCCCCATTTATAGAAAGGTAGAGAACAAGTGTGCTAAAATTCGTATATTGTCTCTTCAGTATACTCTGAAGTTATTGTCTTTTCACTTTACTTTGGAAAACTTATATCATGCCTTCTCAGCTTATACCTGGAAGTTGAGTTCTTATCGACTTATATCATGCTTTAACTGTAAAGTTCGTGACTTGGAATGATTGCTCTTTGTCCTGAGTGACTTCACCCTTCTCATACATCATGTGATATGAAGTCGGAACATGTTATGTTGAGTTAATTCTGTGCGATGATAAAACTAAGATGCATAATTGGTTATACAGTGGTTTGCAGGAAATGAGGGTTTCGCGAAATCTTGAGGTCTTGAAAATGGGCACTATCGGCTATCTGGAAGCACTTAAGCTGCAGGAAAAGCTGGTAGCTGATAGAAAAAGTCATAAGATTCCAGATACCCTTGTGTCCCTGCAACATCTACCTACATATACCCTTGGCAAACGACGAACTGATCACAATCTGTTGATTCCGGAGACTGAACTCAAAAGAATAGGAGCTGAACTGCACTACACACAAAGAGGAGGAGACATTACATTTCATGGTCCACATCAAGCCATCTTGTATCCCATTATTGCTCTTCGTGATATGGGGCTTGGTGCTTGTAAATATATGGAGAAACTTGAGTCGACTATGATTGACTTGGTGTCTCTGTATGGCGTGAAAGCTTGCCCTGGAAATAAATGTGAAATAGGGGTTTGGGTTGGGGAGAGAAAAATCGGAGCCATTGGTGTACGGATTTCATATGGAGTCACGTCACTTGGTTTGGCATTCAACATTGATCCAGATTTGAGCTACTTTAAGCATGTTGTGCCTTGTGGAATTGCAAATAAAGACGTTACATCATTGAGAAGGGAGACGGGCTTGGCGCTTCCTTCAGAAGAAGTAGTTCAGGACCAATTGATTTCTTGTTTTGCAAGACAATTTGGTTATAGTGATCTTGTATGGAAGGATGCTGCTTCAGTATCATCAAACAATGGGGAAACTGAATGAGGTTACAAATGTATGCCAAAGACGATTAAATGATGTAAGTGTTATACTCTTCCATTCATTTGTTTGTTGAAACAATTGATTTGAAAATAGCTGGATTTGTATATCTTGCTGAAAATTATGCAATTTCTGACATAAATGTATTCACTAAATCTTTAACCATAACAAGACTTTAATTAATATTCTTTGAAAAACTGAGTTATAGATTAATTAAATAAAAGATTTAATTCTGAAAAATCTTCAATGCGTTTGAAAAGAACACACCTTAGACTTAACATCAATTGTACCTCAATAGTCGAACTACATTAGCAGACTATTAAAAGAAACACCATGTCAATTCAAAGAGCTAATGACGTATCGAGACATTTTCCAGACCAAACGAAGCAAGTAAGGGTGCTCAAGGGACAGAACTAGTAGAACATTCGACATAGAGGATTTCAATGGTTAAAAAACTAGTTAAAATACTTACCATATTTGGACGTTAGTTGCACTATAACCTGAAACTCCAAACTCAACCTTCAACCCTGCATAAACACATAAAAATGGAAATGTACTGCAACTGCAATTGTTGAGTTACTAATGCTAACCGCTGACAACCATTCAGTTTAACTCTACCACTGGTTTAAGGAATCCATGATCATACCTGTATGTATATTCTGAATAATGTAAATTTCCTTACTTCTAATGAAATAAAACACTGACGAATGCAGCTAAATTAGGCATATAGTAACAAGTGTGTAATAGTTTTCCATGTGCCACACTTTTTACACAATACAGGTCCTAATATGGAAGTATTTTGACTAGTTTTTTAACCATTGAAATCCTCAATGTCTAATGTTCTGCTAGTTCTGTCCCTTGAGCACCCTTGCTTTGTTTGGTTTGGAAAATGTCTCGATGCATCATTAGCTCTTTGAATTGACATGGTATTTCTTTTAGTAGTCTGCTATTGTAGTTCGACTATTGAGGTACAATTGTTGTTAAGTCTAAGGCGTGTTCTTTTCAAACGCATTGAAGATTTTTCAGAATTAAATCTTTTTTTTAATTAATCAATAACTCAGTTTTTCAAAGAATATTAATTAAAGTCTTGTTATGGTTAAAGATTTAGTGAATACATTTATGTTAGAAATTACATAATTTTCAGCACATATTGTATCTCAAAACTGTGTTTTATGTCAAACAAAATTCTTCCATTTTAACATGAGTCTGAACGTGTGGCTTTATTTTAATTTTAACAATATTATTTTCGTGTTCTACCTTTTCCGCTAATGCACTTGTTCATTTTTAGCATACTTTGTTTATTGCTGAGTTTTTGCTGTCACCATTTTTAACATTAATGCTGTACTTGTCAGTGTGTTAATTATTTATGAAATTGGAAAATCTTACTCCAGGTCCCAAACTCGACAATGAAAAGCGAACTCTAAACAGTTTGACCATTCGCTCTGATTATATGAAAAACACTGTCTAATCTGGTCATCTCTTGTACACGGCGTTTATATGAAGCCTTACTGGAAATAAAGATAGTTCTACACGTGTAGTAAATGCATTTCAGTAATGTACACGTTACGAATGAACAAGAAAATCCGCCGGTTACATTAATTTTCACCAACTCTTCCTGAGGATTATATACCCTTACCCTCGTAGTATTCGCCCTGTAGAATTCCTCTGCAAACTTCAGCCTTAGCTCTAATTTCTTGCTTCTCCTTTGAAATTTCCTAGATAAAGATGAGAATTCGAAATAGCCGGTCAAATTTCTCTCAGATGACTCCACCTGACACCACACCTGCGGCTGCTCATCTTCGCTCACAACATGGTTCAGATGATTGCTTTGTAGTTGAAGAAGAGAATTGGCGCATTGGATGGTCCGGCTATACAAAAAAAGAATTCCCTGCTCAAGTTTCTAGTAAGGATCAATTGCATGATGAGTTGGAGGCAGCAAGCAGTACAGAAATTGGGCCTTTGAACTGTCTTGATAAGGGGAAAGATGCGAAACATTTCATGCAAGTGAATACAAATCCGGTAATTAATCTTTTACTCATCCTTTCATTTTCACTTTAGGAATTTGCGATTTGTTGACTTTGCTGAAGATCAATTTTGTTATTGTTTAATTAGTGTATTCTTGTTCAAGGTTCATGACACTTGAGATTTAACTGTTATTTTGCCTTTAGGTCTCAGAAGGGCAGAGCGAAGGAAAAGCAGATAAAGGGAAACAATTTACTGCATGTGCTGGTTCTCAGGGGTAACTATTTCTTGTCCTTTCTCATCTCTTGAACCTGCTGAAATTTATAATCGCCATTTATACATTCTAATGCGGAAATATATATTCTTTTCTAATCTGCAATTTTGAGATCTGTGATGGATACATAGTTATTTTACACATCCCTTTTCACATTCTCTTGTGATAGAACAAAAATTCCAGATCTGTTTATTTGTAATTTAAATAGTCATAAATTGATGGTAAAAGTAAAATTTTCCATTTACTCATTGATTTCTACACAGAAGTGCAACTTGAGATCTAAAAAATTGAAATAACTATGTTTTTGCTGCAGGGGTGGAGAAGGCGTAACTTCTCCAGTTACAGCTGTGATCACGCATCCTTTTTCTTTTTCTTACCTAGGTAAGCTACCCTTAAATTAGATTCCTCATGGAGACCAAGTCTTGAGGGTAATTTTTCAGTGAATTTTTTGTTGATTTAAGAGATTTGGTGATCATATCAGTTCTTATGATTGGGTTGAATTGAAGGGAATCCCAGTACTAGGGGTTCACTGTGGAGTAAATGATTATACATCTAATATATAGAGTCATATGATGCTAGCATATGGGAAATGTAATGATAGCTAAAGCCATCTTGTGTGTGTAATTACTAGGTAAACATGAGGTTTTCTATTTTCTTACATCAGTCGGCATGTGATGTATTTCAGCTCAATTGTTCTTGTTGCATTTATAGTTTATATAGGTATCAATCAAAATCGATTATAACCCTTAGAGGTGACATGTGCAAGGGACTAACAGAAAAGGTTCTGAGACTGAAGCTGCATCTCGTTACATGTCTTTTTGGCTCTAAGATTTTCTTGTTTCGTTGACATGGAAAATTTGTTGTTCCAACTTTATCTATTGAATTATTGATTGATGTTCTGAATCAGGTAACAAACTTCCGTTTAAGAAAAGAAGACCTTATAACTACACAGAGACTGAAGTAGAGATGGAAAGAGAGAAAGTAGAAGATGGCTTGCTAGAAGTAAAAGTGGAAGATGCGGTAATGGAAGCAAAAGAAAGATGGGTGCTTGTAGAAGTTGAAATGGAAAATCAGTTAGCAGAAGTTAAGGAAGATGGGCCAAAAGAAGTGGAGGCTGACGATGCAACAGCTGACAAGAAAAATGAATCACTCGAGGAGGGGGAACTGAGAGAGGAAACTGAGGAGGAGACAAAAAAAATGGGTGGGCTTGAACTCTTCAATGAAGATGAAGATTTCCAGAGGACTCGGAGCATTATCCGCACTGTTACCTGTGGGTTGTATGTACCTCATCTGGCCATTGATGAGAACCAGCAGGACAGCAAAAAAGAAGAACTTGGTCTAGAAGAGACAGCAGGTGAACCAAATGAGAAGCCAAGAAGGGGAAGGAAGAGGCGCAGATCTGGTGCTAGCTCTAGCAGCGATGAGCCTCGTATGTAAGTACCCCGGATGAATACAAAATACTCCCATTAATGCTTTCTAGCATGAGAAATCGTATGACTTGCACTGCTATGGATGTTCTGTTTTTTCCCCTCATGGTTCACAGAGCTTATGTTCTTGACCTTTTCTTTGATGGACTCGTATGTAGGTATATAATCGCCACATAAAGTTCTTCCAATCCTTTAAGAGAGTCTGAAAAGAGCTCATCTATAATATCATCTATGGTTATCTACTGCAATGCGTTCACTTAAGGACATTGTTATATTTTCAAATATTCTGAGACAGAGTACATTTTGAAATGCAAGGGCGACCATGTATATCCATGAGATGTTCACTTGCTCCTTCATCTCCGTCCATGCAATTATATTTTGCTCATGATACTCTGACGCTGTGTATGTGCATCTACAAAAACATGGTCATCTATGTGTATGGTTTTCTAGTGGGTTTGGAGAAAATTAATAAATCTGACCAAGAACACACAGGGGAAGGCGGGAACTAAAGAGAGGAAGGCCAAAGAGGATGCAAGATCCAATTGAGGCAAATCAAGGGTATATTCACATCCCTCCCTCCCCCATATGCTCTGTGTATGTATTTGAACATGTGTTTCGGATCCAATTTATGTGTGTTGTGTGCATGCATGTATCCTCTGCCTGTGGACGTAATAAACAACACTTTCACTACGAAGGTGTGTAGATATTGCCATAAGAAGAGGTCGCTCCAAGGGGGATACAGAGGCATCATTTCATTCATACAATAGGTACCCAAGAAGAGGTCGTTCCAAGAACGACACAGAGGAGTCCTTTTCTTCAAAAAAAAGGAAGCCAAGAAGGGGTCGCTCCAAGAGGAGCACAGAGGAATCACCTCATTCAAACAGTAGGTACTCTCTTGATGCAGAGGAGTCGTCTTCTTCAAACAATAGGAAGACAAGAAGGGGTCACCCAAGGAGGAGCACAGAGGAATCACCTGATTCAAACAATAGGTACTCTCTCTCTCTCTCTCTCTCTCTCTGGTTAGAAATCTGTAGCTAAAGATTTAATAAAACAGGATGCTGAAATGCCAAAGCCTAAGAGGGGGAGGCCAAAGGGGGTGAAGGATTAACCAGCCAGCCAGTTAAAGTAAAGCATAGAGACTCCGATGTCTTATATCATTGTAAGACTTTGGTAGAGTTTCTCTTGTAATAAATGACTCCATAGTCTGCAAGTATATTTCTATGCCTTAAAACTTTTAGGATTTATGTTTTATGGTCTATAACAGAAGAGACCAAAGTGAAAGCTGAAAACTTGTATTTGTAGTGCGTATTTACCAATGTGTCAATGCAATAGGCTATTATCATTATATCTCTATCCTGATTAAAAAAGTAACAAAATATTGTTGGTGGGAATTTAATGCATCACCTTCAGTTTCGTTTTGTTATAATTGACAGATTGTGCCTCACATTTTTCAGTTTCATTTGTATACCTGTGACCTATGATACATGGTAGGCATAGATCAAAACAATGTTTTTGAGTATATCGGGATATTCATATAACCAAAAAAACAAAAAACAAAAAAAAAAACTGCTATATTTTTTATATCCTGAATATATTCAAGAACATTTTTTTTCCCAAAAAATTAGTGTCATGTCAGTTATATATCCATGCACATTTTTTCCAGCAAAAGCATTACTAATCGACAGGTCTTCTTTGTGTAAGCAATCTCGTGTTTACCTGTATGGCCAATTTAGGCATCAAAATTGTTTAGTTTTGCTGCATTGAACTCTTGTATGACTTGTCCCTTGTTTTCTGCGTAGACATTTTCATTGAAACAGCCTGATTTTCTTACAGGGAAGTTACATGCTATCCTTATTAGGTTACCTAATATGTAGAATTGCCATTTCATATGAAATTTATGACTATATGTGCTAGGATTTTCTTCTATGTTCTCAATGGAAATTAGAAATATCAAAATTTAATGACATCTAGTCTCACATTTAACTTTTACTCTTTTACTCTTTATGGGTTGAGGGGCATCGTGTGACCTAGTAAGGTGAGAGCCAGGCGTCAGACCATCCACCAGGTGTAAGTCATGGAGAAATTTTAGCTTAAAATGCAGTCTAATAAGTCTAATCTTTCTGTTTCTTTCTGTCTGTACGTGAGTTTCTAGGTTTTTCCCTTTTACTCATCTCTTGCTAGACATTGATTTTTCCTTCAGATTCATTAGTTCAAACAACGATCTTTTAGGAATTGAGTGTATACAACGAGATCATATTTTGTTACTCTTGGATAATTTTGAAAATGAGAATCAGGGGCAGACGGATCGTCAAACCACCTCCTCCTCTAACTAGCTCAGTTGGTTCATCAGAAGATCCTCCAGCACAGCAAGATGAGCAAGAGGTTTCATCATTGCCCTTCAATGGTGCGATTTTTCTGTCCTACCAAGGATATCTGCATGATCAGTCCCTTAAAGAGGTAAAGAGGGGTTCAGGATGTGCAAATCTGTTGCGATTTTAAGTTATTTTTATGTTAATTGAATAAACCAAACATCGAATCATAGGTAAAGAGAGGATTCAGGATGTGAAAATCCGTTGTGATTTAAATTTAGTGTATGTTAATTGAATAAACCAAACATCAAATCACAGGTAAAGAAGGATTCAGGATGTGCGAACCATTGCGATTTTAAGTTCTTTTTATGTTAATTGTTTTCTACTACCTCCTACTGCCTCTCCAATTTTATTCACTGGTTCTACAATTCATTGTTCTTTGGAATCTCAGATCTAGGTATAACTTAAAATTCTAAATCAAAATCCACTCAGTTTGTTGTTATCATGCAACAAATTCTGCTCCACAATCCCAGATCTAGGTATCCTTGCCTGCATCTTCAGATCCAGGCAACGCTATATTTTCTGAAGTTCGGGCTGGTGTAACACCCGTAGTCTCATCTGTTTTTTGTTGCTATGCACTAATTCTGTTCCACAATCTTTTTTATAGAACACAGCAGGATGCGTATCTGAAGATAAGGTGATCTCAGATTCCTGTGCTGCTCAAGGGTAAGTTATTTTCTTAATGTAATTATGTGGATTAATTGAGCAGGGCGACGTCACCATGGTTTGTAGGCTTGAAGTTGACAGGAGACACAGTATCGTCATCTTTCATGTGTCCATCTGATTTAATAAAAGGGGGTCATCTCTACTCAATGTGTTTCATAAAACATCAAAATAAGGTTCCCGCGTACTCCTGCAGTATGCGCCTACAATTTAAATTGCATAAGTAGTAAATTCAAACTGATACTTTGAAGGAAACTAGTTGTTTTATCATGATTGTGAGAACATTTGAATGACTGTGTACACATTGTTAAATGGATTTCCTTTTTGGTGATCATGAAGGAGGGGAAACATCTCCAATGCAGCTGTGCCTGCCCGACAGAATGTAATCGTAATATCTTCTGATGATGGTACGCCTTTTTCACTTTCTTTAAAGAGTTCAAATAATGGTTATCAGGAAATTAATAAATTTTGTATCAAGCACTATAGATATAGAGTATGCTTTTGGGAACATCTTTGTACAAAATTCTCAATGCAGAGAGGATTAATGACTGGTAAACTACGTGAACTTGTCTGCGTCATTTAGTAGCATTATAAAGATGTGATAATTCTTCAGAATATTGAAAAGAAATTCTTCTGATTATCGAAAACTGTTTTTTTTTTTTTTTTTTCTTTCTTTCTCTAAAACCCTTCAAAGCATCAGTTAGCTCCTCCAAAGAATAGCCTACCCGCTATCAGTACTATTTTTAGCATTCCTTTTTAGGATATTCTCAAAATGCAACAGCCAAAAAGAAAGCCATGTCGTTGGGAAACTTCCACAACCCGCCACAAACCAGCGTATATATGTTACAATGGTGATTTGCAAGTCAGGTTAGATACAGATTCCCTTAGCTCCCAAAGTAAAAGAAGCATGGAAATAAGGGTCAGATATGATATCTTATTCAATGGATGAACTTAATCAAGAAAACACATTTTATTGATATTTATGCCTTTTCCCAACGTATCGTTTCTTTTCTAATAACTTCTGCAGATCGTTTTGTTGTTATAAGATACTGTATCTATGATGTACTTTGCTTAGTCTTGAGGAGGAAGATTATTGGTGTTGGCTTGCTTTGTACTTCATGACGTTCACGTATTATAATACCATCGCAACATTTTCATATATTGAATTGATTTTGCGGATCAAATATGCATATTACCAGACTACTTAGTGTCTTTGCTAATAATAATGATGCATATAGACGGTCCGCCTATTCTTCTTCTAGAGTTTTGTTCTTGCTTTATTATGTGTCATCCACTCGAAACTTATTTAAGAAGTAAATACTTTAGCTTCTTGTGATCTGATTCTCAAAGGCCGCGAGATGTGAAATTGCAAGAAAATTAGCCAAGTGTTTGTTATTATTAGGTTCTGTTTCATCATATGCCGTTTCTTATTGGATTCTTAATTTATTAACATGGAAAAGCAGATGAACCTGGACTGAGGAGCGAGAAGGTAGACCCGGATGAAGTCACCAGCAGAAGGATTCGCAGGAGAATAGACAGCAGGGATGTCAATATGGGAAGATCTAACTGCGCACGCAATGAGATGACTCAGGCGGGACATGCACGTGTACGCACCTCAGGTGTGGCAAGAGCTAGGGGCATGCACAGCCTTATGCGCAACCTGAACCTAATGCCTTCTCGTCCCAGATTTGAAGAGGAGCTCATTAAGAACGTTAATGGTGAGGCAAAGAATGCACAAAGGAAAAGGTTCAGGCTTCTAAGCGAATTCTATGGTGTTTAGAAAAAGCTTGAGGCAGTGAGGAAGCTCATTTGGAATAGAGCAATGGTTTTCTGAGTTGCATGTTTTTCCGTTTCCTAGTGTTGTTGTTTTCGTCTTAGTTTTTTGAGGAGGTTTGGGCTGTTAAAATAAAACAATGATTTCTCTGAGTTTCATGTTTTTCGGTTTCGTAGTGTCATCGTTTGTCTGAGATTTGTTAAAATTTGGTTTTCTGATTTGGACTTGAATTTCATACCATTATTCTATGCACGAGTGTTCAATCTTGAGTGACCTCCACATGACTTGGAGCTTACTCTACCTTTACCTCATCTCTTACCTTCCTCTGTAGTATCGAATATGGGTCGAGTGGTGGGTAATGTCTAACCTGGTACGAAATGGCTGGCCCGACCTGATGAGATGAAATGGCATATCAGCCTTGTCTTGATCTATACGGGCTTCGAATGCTCGTCGAACCATGCCTGAAACCGGTGATATCTCAGCTCGGCCTCCGGTGTTTTACCCCGACGACGTATATCATGCAAGTTTAAAAACTTTAGTTAGTACTTAGTTTTTGGTGAATACATAAATGAACAGAGATGTTTTGCATTTTTCAAAAGTCTTATCACTTGAAGACTTGGTAGTTTTTGTTTGATCATGGAGGTCTGTTTTCCAAATTTTCCCCAGTTATGTCCTACTCCTGCCCCACTGAAAACATGAACTTCAGCTTTGACACCACCTCTTTCCGTCCTCTAATTTGCATTTACTTTTCACATTTTTCGGCTACGATGGAAGGTAAAGTGAAGACGGGATTCAAACTCTGATCTCGAACGCAAGGGTAAATGCTTTCAACCACCCGAACTCAAAGTCTTCTTACCAATCTCTGAATTTTGCTGCTGGTCTTTTGTTCTGGTAGGTTTGAATGGTCAGCATATGCGTCAGTCATGCTTATATTTATTATAGCTTTTTGGTTTGAAACGTATATATATATACACACACACTATTTTATTTTTGGTTTGAAACATTCACACATATATATTAATATAATGTTGTATAGTCAAACCTAAAACTACGAGTATAGTGATAAATATTCTTAATTACTTAAGTTACAAGTCATTTACTAGTTTGAAACATCCATAAGTGCTTAAGTAAATAGAGTTGTAAAATGAGTGAAGGACGAGAATATGATGAAACAAGATTTGAGAGAGACAAGTCAGCAGGCCGTTGCTGATCATATCAATATTGTCCCAACTTGCATTCTCTTACCACCGATTAGCAAAATAATTACGGAGTAGGTATCAGTGTCATTACATATAGAACTATTCATTATATTATTTTCTCAAAAAGTGGAATTCTTGTATTTTGAACAAGGATTAAATGTGTAATATATGTGTAGGTTCGGAGAAATTGTTGTGTGTGACTCTAGGAAGGGGAGGCCATGTCGTGGTTGACAGCTAATATTTACGTAAAGAAATGTGGTACACGCATTTACTTGCAGGAAAAAACTTAAGACAATGACAGGCATGGAGAGTAGTCAAGCCTAATTAAGATATATAGTTAATTAAGCTAGGTTGAAGAATTGGTGCTTTGCAATGGCAATGGCTTTTTCTGTACGGATGCTTTTGTTCTCCTCATTGTTTTTGCTACCAATTTATGTGTTTTCGCAAAATAATGGAAGGGTAGCAGTTGGGAGTTCTCTAACTGCAACTACAGGCAACTCCTCATCATGGCTTTCTCCATCCGGTGATTTCGCGTTTGGATTTTCACCCCTCGGAAGCGATGATCTTTTCTTGCTTTCGATACGGTATGCGAAAATCCCAGACGAAACCGTAGTTTGGTATGCATATGACGGTAACAACCCCATGGTTGCACCTAGGGGATCAGTTTTGAACTTGACTGCCAACAATGGACTAGTTCTTAACAATCCTCAGGGTGGAGAGATATGGAAATCCCAAACAACTTTCGGGATTGTTGAGAACGGGGTCATGAATGACACCGGAAACTTTGTCCTTCAAGACCAAAACTCGGGGAGCTTGTGGGAGACCTTCAGCAATCCTACAGACACCGTTTTGCCTGGACAGACAATTGAGAAAAATGGGAAGCTTTCGTGTAGACAATCGGAGTCAAACTACGCAAAAGGGCGGTTCCAGCTGCGCTTGCAAGATGATGGAAACCTCGTGCTCAACACCGTCAACTTGCCAACAGATTATGCCAACAACCCTTACTTCGCCACGGGCACCACCGCAGGGACTGTAGAAGGTAGTCAAGGTAAGCAATTGGTGTTCAACAGCTCAGGGGACATGTTTGTTCTGAGAGAAAATGGTGGAAGATTCACTCTTACAGGGACACAGGGAGTTTCGGTGAGGGACAACTACGTAAGGGCAACTCTTGATTTTGATGGGATTTTCGCTTTATATTCTCACCCGAAAAATTTCACTGGAAATGCAAGCTGGAGTAATCCTCTGTGGTATACGCCGGATGATATTTGCCAAACACTTCGTGAAGACATGGGTGTTGGTGTTTGTGGTTACAACAGTGTCTGTAAGCTCAAAACAGATAATAGGCCAACCTGCGAATGCCCGGAAGGGTTTTCTTTTCTTGATCCGAATGATATATACCGAGGATGCAAACCCGATTTTATACAAGGCTGTGAAGAAGATGAGCTGCAAGGTCCCAGAAAAGATTTGTATGATGTCAAAGTGCTGACAAATACTGATTGGCCAACCTCAGATTATGTGCAGCTAAAGCCTTTTTCCGCGGACAAGTGCAACGAGTCTTGCTTTCAAGACTGTTTGTGCGCTGTTGCTGTTTTCCGGTCTGAAACCTGCTGGAAAAAGAAGTTACCTCTCTCAAACGGGAGAGTGGATGTCAGTCTTAATTCACAGACCTTCATAAAAGTCCGAAAGGATAATGCCACTCTGCAGTCTCTTCCAAAGCCAATTCCAGATGATAAAGAGAAGAGACGGAAATCTGTGATACGCGTGGAATCAGTATTATTAGGTACCTCTATCTTTGTAAATTTTGTCTTAAGTTCTGCTCTCTGTCTTGGGTTTTTCTTCATTTTCCGGAAGAAACCTGTAAGACCTAGTACCGATATTGTTTTGGACTCGAATTTGCGCTCTTTTAGCTATGAAGAGCTACGAGAAGCTACAAATGCGTTCAATGAAGAATTAGGAAGGGGTGCTTTTGGTGTGGTTTTCAAAGGGGTGATGCAAATTGGTTCTGGTGTCGAAGTGGCGGTGAAGAAGCTAAACTATGTTATGCAAGATGTCGAGAAGGAGTTTAAAACAGAACTGAAAGTAATTGGTCAGACGCATCACAAGAATCTGGTTCGTCTTTTTGGATATTGTGACGAGGGGCAACAGAGATTACTAGTTTATGAGTTCTTAAGAAATGGCACATTGGCAAGCTTTCTTTTTTCTGATATCAAACCAAGTTGGAGACAGCGAATTGAAATCGCTTATGGCGTTGCGCAGGGGCTTTTGTACTTGCATGAAGAGTGCGGCACACAGATTATCCATTGTGACATAAAGCCGCAGAACATACTTCTCGATGATTATTACACTGCTCGGATCTCTGATTTTGGTTTGGCAAAACTTTTGCTGATGAATCAGAGCCAGACGCATACCGCCATCCGAGGAACAAAAGGTTATGTTGCACCTGAGTGGTTCAGGAACTTGCCAATCACTACCAAAGTTGATGTGTACAGCTTTGGTGTTGTGCTGCTGGAAATCATTTGTTGTAGGAGAAGCGTTGACATGGAAGGTAACTGTGAAGAGAGAGCAATTTTAACGTACTGGGTTTATGATTGCTACGTTGACGGAGGACTAGATGCTGTTGTAGATTGTGAAGTTGAGGCCTTGGGTGATCGAACGACACTGGAAAAGTTTGTGATGGTTGCGATTTGGTGTATTCAGGAAGATCCATCTCTTAGGCCTACTATGAAGAAGGTTGTGCAGATGCTTGAAGGAGTTGTCGAAGTGCCTGTTCCACCATGTCCATCCCCATATACCAGATAAGGTTGAACCGCCGTTATTTGTATTGCAGCGAAGGTGTATTTATTGTCACAGTAGTAGCTAGCTTGTTTCCTGTTTGTCAATCTGTGTTTAGTTTACCAATTTTTCGTTTTGTAATGCAATGATTTAGATAAAACGGTAAATGCTTTATGTATGTAACTGTTGGTGCTGATGAAGTTTCTGGTTTATCTTGTACGAATTGGACTTATCGCTACCCTCCCTACTCCTTTGTCTTCTCTTTGTAGGGAGGGCCTGAATTATGATCATGTTTATTGGCAAGAACTTGTTGAATATAGTTTTTAGCCGCGAGCGCGACTCCATCCACATTGGTTAGAAATCAAAATGAACATCTGCAGTCTGTGACGACCTTGTCTTCACTGCTGTGAATACAATGGCCTTGGCTTTTGCTTCTGCCAATAACAATTCCAGAATGGAAAGTATTCTCACTGCAGGTGTAGAGCCTGCTTGGTGGTTTTCAACTTACAGTGATTTTGCGTTCGGGTTTCGAATACATAACAGTGATCTCTTCTTGCTTGCCATATGGTATCAAAAGATACTACTACAAACGCACAACTTTGGTCTTATCGAAATATAATGGCATCTGAATTTTGATTTTTCAGTTAGTTTTTTTCCTTAGGAACTCAAAAACACAAAAATTTGATCTTATCAAAACATAATAGCATCATATTTAATTTTTAGTTACTTTTTTTTTTCCTTACGAACTCAAAACGTACACATATTTAGTTTTGTCAAAACATAATGGCATACCCTTTTTTGGCATCTTTTGTTGGTTCAATCTTTATTCTCTATGGAAAACTCGTCAAATTACTGTAGTAACCTACTGAAAATACACACAGATTTGGTCTTATGGTAACATAATGGCCTTAGATTTTCATTTTTCAGTTACTATTTTTTCTTATGAACTCAAAACACACGATTTGGTCTTAGCAAAGCATAATGGTCTTCCCTCTTTTGGCATCTTTCGTTTGTTCAATCTCTATTCTCTATGGTAAACCACATGAAATTGCAATTACACTCATGAAAAAACACACAAATTTGGTCTTATTGAAACATAATGGCCTCAAGTTCTATTTTTCAGTTACTCTTTCTCCTTGTAAACTCAAGATGCACAAATTTCATCTTATCAAAAGAAAGTGTTGTTCCCTCTTTTGGCATCTTTTGTTGGTCCAATCTCTATTCTATGTGGAAAATAACTCATGAATTTACTATTGTACCCTCCCGAAAACACACAAATTGGTCTTATCGAAACATAATGGCCTCATATTTTAAATTTTCAGTTACTCTTTCTCCTTATGAACTCATAATCCACAAATTAATTCTTATCGAAACGTCTTCCCTCTTTTCACATTTTTGTGGTTCATTATGTAATTGGCATCTATCGTTAGATTAGTAGGTATTATCTGTGGAAAAACAATAAGTTAATTTTTTAGTTACTCTTTTTCCTTATGAACTCAAATCCCACAGGTTTGGTCTTATCAAAACATTATGGCCTCCTTTCTTTTGGCATCTTTCATTGCTTCAATCTTTATTCTTCGCGCAAAAATTATGAAACTAATGTACCAATATCCCAAGAAAACACACATATTCGGTCTTATCGAAACATAATGATCTCAGATATTTTTTTTTTAGTTACTCTTTTTCCTTATGAACTCAATAACACAGGGATTTGTTCTTCCCTCTTTTGGCATCTTTCATTGGTTCAATCTCTATTCTTTGTGATAAACACGTGAAATTACAGTTACGCTCTTGAAAAAACACACAAATTTGGTCTTAATGAAATGGCCCCAAGTTTTATTTTTCAGTTACTATTTTTCCTTGTAAACTCAAAAGGCACGGATTTTATCTTATCAAAACATAGTGGCATTTCCTCTTTTGGCATCTTTCATTGGTTCAATCTCTATTCTGGAAAATAACTTGTGAATTTACTATTGTACCCTCCCAAAAAATGCACAATTTTAGTGATCTTATCGAAACATAATAGCCTCATATTTTTAATTTTCAGTTATTCTTTCTCCATATGAACTCATAACGCATAATCTTATTCTTTTCGAAACATCTTCCCTCATTCGACATCTTATGTGGTCCATTATGTATTTTGCCATCTTTCGTTGGACCATTGTGTATTTTGGCATCTTTTGTTGGACCAGTAGGTATTAATTGAAAAAACTTGTGAACCCCTCTTGAAAAACACATAGATTTGGTGTTATCAAGACAAAATTGCATCACATTTTAATTTTTTTGTTACTTTTTTTCCTTATGAACTGAAAGCCCACAGATTTGGTCTTATCAAAATATAATGGCCCTCCCTCTTTTGGCATCTTTCATTGGTTAAATCTTTATTCTTTGCACAAAACTCGTGACACTACCCTTGTACCAGCATCCCAAGATTCGGTTTTATCGAAACATAATGACCTAATTTTAATTCTTCGGTTACTCTTTTTCCTTATGAACTCAGTAACACACGGATTTGGTCTTATCAAAACATAATGATCTTCCCTCTTTTGGCATTTTTTTGTTGGTTCAATCTCTATTCTCCGTAGTAAAACACATGAAATTACACTTATGCTCTTGAAAAAATACACAAATTTGGTCTTATTGAAATGGCCTCAAGTTTTATTTTTCAGTTACTATTTTTCCTTATAAACTCAAAAGGCACGGATTTTATCTTATCAAAGCATAGTGGCGTTCCCTCTTTTTGCATCTTTCGTTGGTTCAATCTCTATTGTATGTGGAATATAACTTGTGAATTTACTATTGTACCCTCCCAAAAAACGCACATATTTAGTGATCTTATCGAAACATAATAGCCTCCTATTTTAATTTTTCAGTTACTCTTTCTCCTTATGAACTCATAACGCACAAATTTATTCTTATCAAAACATCTTCCCTCTTTCGACATTTTATGTGTTCCATTATGTATTTTGCCATCTTTCGTTGGACCATTATGTATTTTGGCATCTTTCGTTGGACTAGTAGGTATTAATTGATAAAACTCGTGAACCCCTCTTGAAAAAACGCATAGATTTGGTTTTATCGAAACAAAATTGCATCAAAATTTAATTTTTTTGTTACTCTTTTTCCTTATGAACTTAAAGGCCACGGATTTGGCCTTATCAAAACATGATGGCCCTCCCTCTTTTGGCATCTTTCATTGGTTCAATCTTTATTCTCTACACAAAACTCGTGACACTGTTGTTGTACCGGCATCTCAAGAAAACGTATAGATTCGGTCTTATCGAAACATAATGACCTGATTTTAATTTTTCAATTACTCTTTTTCCTTATGAACTCAATAACGCACGGCTTTGGTCTTATCAAAACATAATGGTCTTCCCGCTTTTGGCTTCTTTCGTTGGTCCAATCAGTATTCTTCGTGACAAAACTCGTGAAATTACCGTCGTCACTTCCCAAGCAAGAATTCATCCCAACCTCCCTATATAACCCAACATGGTGAAAGCTAAGACGAACAAACATATCGACCATTCAAGTCATTTACCTTGTGTACCTTGCGCAACTCTCATGGTTTATATAATTGAGTTTCGAACTCAATTATTTCATTGTTCTTTCACCATCCAACTTCTCCAATCCACTTCAAACAATCACATCATGGATTCATTCATGATGATCATCATCGTCGTTTATGATGAAGTCATGCCTAATGACGCCAGTCAGCAAAATCTCGATCCTCCAACTCCTGATATCCGAGAGTCCAGTCTTGCCCAGGGAGTCCACCGTCCGTCAGACAAAGACGATGGTCGTGGTGATCACGAAAATGTTTCCATTGATGATGAGAATATTATTTCTATTCTGGGAGATGATGATGGACGGATACACAACCTCCCTCAAGGAATGGTGGATCGTGACGATTTTGTGGTGACGAACAGAAGCACTCCGGTGGTGGGTCGTCATGATCATGAGGCAAACTTGAAATTACCGTTATACACTAACCTATATTTTAAGTTCCTAACAGAACGCTACGACAGAACAGAAGGGAAAATAATCGTACTTACCCATATTCCCATTTCCGTCAACCTTCATCCCACCTTCAATTTCCTATGTCATCCTCATTTCCCAAACTCCATTTCCGTCAAGCAAAACAATGGATCCGGCAGACCCGCCACCAGCATCACCACAACCAGCAGCAGCAAGCCATCTTGGTTAGTCGACTGATCCACTCAGCTTTCACCGAGAAGCTCAAACCCCAACTTCACCCGTCCTGAGGAGCATGCCTATAACGACACTATCAAGGAGGGGCTGCAGCGCCACCACAACCAGCAGCAGCAAGCCATCTTGGTCACTCAGCTGATCCACGCACCTTTCACTGAGAAGCTCAAACCCCACCTCACCGGTCCAGAGGAGCATGTCAATAATGACGCTATCAAGGAGGGGCTGCAGCACCACCACAACCAGCAGCAGCAAGCCATCTTGGTCACTTGGCTGATCCATTCAGCTTTCACCAAGAAGCTCAAACCCCACCTTCACCCGTCCCAAGAAGCATGCCAATAACGACGCTATCAAGGAGGGGCTGCAGCCGCTTGATGTGGAAATTATTTCTCATCTGGGAGCTGATGAGCGGATTCACGGCATGCGCCACCGCGGACCCAACAAATGGTACAGTTGTCCGATATGCCACGGAGTGTACGAGTCGGCACAGGTCTTCTCTATATATCCTAACAGAGTAAGATGAAAGCTACGACAGAACCAAAAAAAGGAAAATAATCGTCCGCGGCCCAAACCCCATCTTTGTTTAGGTTTTCCTTGCTGCCAAAGTTAGTTCTTTGTTACAGTTCTATGTACTGTTCTCCCCTCTTAACAAATTGAAAGTCTAAATTAATTTACATTTTGACAGAACATTTCATCTTTTTATTACCTTTTTTACCAGTGCCATTGGTCAAGATTTCATCTTTTTATTACTTAAAGGAGCACAATGCAATTTGGATTTAGCTAAACCCAATATAAATCTAATCTATTTATAAGAAAAATAAACATAAAATTGCACCTCCAAGATAAACAAACTGTAAATATTTCATTTCATCAGATATTCTATAAGAACACGGGTGAAAATTAGTAATAATTCAAACTAGCCTCAATAAGTATGTTATCTCATAAAACGTTTCGTAAACATAATCATTAAATCATGCTTTTAATGTATGCATTTCTACTATTAAAACATG